AGTCTTTTTGAGACAGGGTCTTCCTGTAGCCCCAGCTGACCTGGAATTCTCTATGTAGAACAGGCTGGCCTCCAACTCACAGAGATCCACCTGCCTCTGCCTCCTGAGTGCTGGGACTAAAGGCGTGCGCCACCATGCCTGGCCTCAATAAAATATTCTTTAGAAAGGAATATAATGAAGCAACTGAGCCCTTTCACTAATGTTTTCTTTGCATTTCAATTTAGGCCTGAATTACTGGAACAACTTTGGAAAGCCAGAGCTGAGAAAAAGAAACTACGTAAAACATTAAGGGAATTTGAAGAAGCATTTTATCAGCAAAATGGAAGGTTTGTTAAGTGTTACAAATAGTGACTTTTTCTCCTTTAACTCACAAAATGCCCTTGGGTTAAGGGTAGTGTGGAATACATAAGATTAAAAACACATGGGCTTGTGAAATAGCTCAGTGGGTTGTAGGCACTTCTAAGCCTAACAGCCCTGACAACTATGACAACTAGTTTGGTCCCCAGGATCTACATGGTGGAAGGAGAGAACCAAATCCTGAAAGTTGTATGTGCCCAGCCCTACCACCACAATAAATAAACATAATAAAATTTAAAAAAAAGTTTTTTTAATATTTTATTTTATGTGTATGCATGTATTGCCTGCATGTAGGTGAGTGCACCCATGTCGTGCAATGCCTGTGGAGGACAAAAGAGACTGTCGGATTCCCTGGAACTGGAGTTATGGACAGTTGTTAGCTGCCATGTGGGTGCTGGGATTCAAACCCAGGTCTTCTGCAAGAACAGTCAATGTTCTTAACCGCTGAGCTCTCTCTCTCTCTCTCCAGCCCCCTAAAATTTTTTTAAACAAAATTTCAGGAATCAGTGGCAGAGCATTTGCCTAGCACATGCAGGGCCCTGGGTTAACCAGCACTGCAAAAATGATGAAAAATTTAAAACATTCCTTTATGCTTTTAAGCCATGTTGTTACTAAGGATAAATCAGAGCCATAGTAAATAACATCTAATATTTTAAGGGTTTTATTTAAAAATTATTTATTTATTATTTTTATTTTATATGTATGAGTGTATTGCCTGCATGTATGTGAGTGCACCTGTGTTGTGCAATGCCTCAAAGGTCAGAAGAGGGCATTGGATTCTCCTAGAACTGGAGTTAAGGACAGTTCATAGCCACCATGTGGGTGCTGGGAATTGAACCCAGGTCCTCTACAAGAGCAGTCAGTGCTCTTAACCTCTGAGCCATCTCTCCAGCCCATATTTTAAGATTTTTTGTTTTGTTTGTAGTGCTAAAGTTCAAACTCTTGAACATACTAGGCAAATACTCTACCACTGAGCTACAGCCCTGCCCGTGGTGACTTTATGTAGTTTAATATCCTTATCCTTTAGGAAGTGACTATAAAATGAGATGTGTCTCTTTAGAAAGGATACCATAGTAGGAATGAAATCAGCAACCAGTTTGGATTCTTAATGTTTATCCTGAGACACTTGTACTTAGGCTGTTTTCATTGTCCTTAAGCTGCTTGTTACCCAGGCTACTCATTCTCAGGGTGTTACAAAATAGTATGCCATATGCTTTTATCTAATTGATGTGCCTGGTTGACTCTTGGGAGACTCTGTTAAAAAAAATAAAAATAAACTCCTATTGAAACAGTGGCTAGGTGCTGCGATGATGGCTCAGTGGTTACATGTTAATTACCATGTACCACTTCATAGCTAAAAACATGAAGATCTGAGTTTGGATTCCTAGCATCTGTGTGAAAAGTTGGCCTACAGGGGCCAAGTACGTACACCTATAACCCCAGTGCTGTAAGGAGAAGGGAAGTTGAGACAGGTGGATCTTGGGGACTCACTGGCCAGCTAGTCTATCCAAAACCCGGCAAATTCCAGGCTCAGTGAGAGATCCTGTCTCGTGGAAATGATGGAGAGCAGCAGAGGACATCTGATGTCTTCTGGCCTCTGTAAGCACCTGCATACATGCACAGGCACATACAAATAAAGTAATAGCTGGCAGAATTGAGGATTAAATTATCGTAACTCAGAAATAGTTTTCTAAGTAACTAGGTTGTCCTACATCAGTAACTCTATTATAAATTCCTAAGTGCCTTAAAATGATTCCCTCCCCCCCTTTAAAGAGTTTCATGTTAGCAAGTATAATTAAGAAAAGCTGAGAACTGGGGAAATGACTCTGTCAGTAATGTGCTTGCTTGCTATACAAGCATGAGGAAATGAAGTTTATCCCCAGAATCCATGTAAAAAAGCCATATGTAGTAGGATGCATCTGTAATCTCTGGGGCTTGTTAGCCAGCTGGCTTAGCCAACAAGAAACCCTGTCTCATAAAACAAGGTGAATGATTTCTGAGGAGCAACACCCAAAGTTTACCTCTGTCTTTTACACACACGCGCGCACAAGAAAATTTTGAAGGGTAGAAAGACATTTTCATAGGCCTTAAAAAATTTTTTTTTTTTTTTAAATTTTTGAGTGTTTTACCTATATATGTGTTAGTGAACTGCGTGCATGCAGTGTCCATAGAGGCCATAAGAGTAGTAGTGGATCCCCTGGAACTTGAGTTATGAACAGTTGTTAGTTACCATGTACCATTGTCCTCGGCAAGAGCAGTAAGTGCTCTTAACCACTGAGTCATCTTTCCAGCCCTCTTTTTTTTTTTTTTAAATTTTTGAGTGTTTTACCTACATATGTGTTAGTGAACTGCGTGCATGCAGTGTCCATAGAGGCCATAAGAGTAGTAGTGGATCCCCTGGAACTTGAGTTATGAACAGTTGTTAGTTACCATGTACCATTGTCCTCGGCAAGAGCAGTAAGTGCTCTTAACCACTGAGTCATCTTTCCAGCCCTCGCATGCCTTCTTCATTTTCTTAGAAGACAAAGTTACTTATAATTATACTTGGGATGATTTTTTTTAGTTGGTAATTAAAGTGAAGTGCAAGGGTCACTAAAGGACTCTTTCTGTTACTGGTAAACCAATGGTTTACTTACACATCTTCACTGGAGTGGTTAACTAAATGTGTGGAAAGACTCAGGGTAGCTTTCTAGCACTTAGAGACATGGAAGCTTAGTAGAAGCTATCTTATTAAAATATTGGGTTACCTCTAGTTTTCTACCCTGCTCAGTGCTAAGAAGTATATAGGATTATTTAATCTGTTAGTAGAGAAATCCATAAAAATTAGGATTATTTTTAGAATGTTGAAGTGTTGAGAATTAGTCCAGTAACTTTTTTTTTTTTTTTTTTTTTTTTGCTCAGCAACTTTTATTTCAACTTAAATTTTATAATATCGAGTTTCATATTAGGACAACTTCTGAATCTTTATTTTCTAGGTGATTTTTTTTTTTTTTCTTCCCCAGGAATGCCCAGAAAGAGGATCGTGTTCCAGTGCTTGAGGAATATAAGGAGTACAAGAAAATTAAAGCCAAGCTTAGACTTCTTGAAGTTCTTATCAGCAAACAAGATTCTTCAAAATCCATTTAAAATACGTTCCTTGAAAATTCACATCATAAAGTCAGTTGTGTTCCTTGAAGGTATCACCATTGTACTTGGCTTGCACTTGAGTTCATTTTGTCAGTCTCTCAGAGAATCTCATTTTGTACTTGGTTGTGCCACTAAGCACAGGAAGGGGAGGGTCTAGTAGACCCTCTCTGGGGAAAGTAAGGGATGTTCCATGTGTTACCACAGACTCTCCTCTCCACCTTTAGCAAACACGGTTTCCTTCTTTATTTTGTACAACAGATACATCCTGTTAGCAGAAGACTAGAATTTTATTCTTTTGAACTTCAAGAACTTTGGAAATACAAAGCTTTTTGTTGTTGCTGCATTTTGGGAAAGGGGGGTTGTCCTTTTTTTCATTACTGAAGAAAATTTTGAGAGGAAAATCTTCACTGAATTCTTCGGTTGCTTTTTTCTTATAGGATGAGGATGACTGAAAAATTGAAAGTGACATATGCAACTGTGTTCTGTGTTTTTCTTAGAAAACCAAAATCAAACTGATTTTCAAATCCTAATGTGGAACACCTTTCTGTTTAATTCCCAAAGTGAAGCCTTTGCAGATAGTATGTTAGTATGTTTGCGATTCAGTGCTCACACAACTCTTGAATGAAGATAACAAGTGGGTAGACCAAAAGCAACCTTGCTTAGTCACTGAAAACATATCCCACACATCACTCATAGAGCTGAATCACATCACATGCTGCCTACGGGACTTCAGTTACTGTTTGTTCCTAAGTTACTGTTTATCAGCTGGCAATGATGTGATTTGTCTGGATCAGATCCTGCGCTTGTTCCCCCCACCCACCTCCAGATAATGTGAGAAAATAGCCATGTCAGTATGTAGAAACCTTGGTGGTGCTCAGATTTGTGTGTTTAATCAAATGGGCCTAAATTGGCACAGTAATCATTATGCCTAAGTAAATCTGTTCTTAACAAGGGCTATACCACTGCAATTTTATATGTTCATTCAGGGGGCTGCTCCCTCTTTATTGTAATCAGTAAAATGGCGATGAAGAAAACAACCTCTAAAATGACTGCTTCTTGCCCAGTCACTTGCTGTTTAAAGTGGCCATTTAGGGGATGTGTAGTGGTATGCCCCTTGTCGTGTACTCTCAGTATATCATTTTTCTTTGGCTTTGCATGACTTTTCTTCAGGTACTCTCCAAGGATCAAAATGCTAATCATTTTTATTGCCTAGTAACTTGTGTTAATAGAACAGATTTGGGTCAGGCTTAATCTAAGTGCTTTCCCCTGCACCTGGTGCTTTTTTGAATTGATAAATATCTCACTTTGTGCCCATAATTTGCATGCTCATGCATGATCTTAACTAGCTAATATTCAAAGTTTGTTTCATACAAGAATGGAATTTTGCAACATCCCTTAATAAGGTGAGGAAAGCATGAACCTCAAACTTCTGACACTATTACAGTGAGCACATGAGCTAGCTCAATAATGAACAGTGTCTCTAGTACTTCCCGTTTCACTTGTGTGTGCAATGCCTTTTTTGGGGGGGAGGGGGAAATCCAGTGGTAGGAATGCATAGTTGGGAAATTTTTAAAAAAGCACTAAATTCAGCCTGTTTGTGTGGTTTCCCTTTGATACCACTAGGTTATTCATAATGTATTTCTAGAAAAGTAATGTTAAAAATGCCAAAAAAATGTATCATTTGATTTGAATCCATCATGTGGTATACATTTTAATTTCTTTTAGTCTCCAGACAGGATTGCTACATCTAATTTTATGTGCACTGTATATTTTTATGAATGTTTTATTTTGTATACCACATGCAAAATGTCCATGTGCACTACTTAAATGTTTTAAATAATATATTCCTTCTTTATAATGCTAAATCTATTTGAGTACAATATTTTTATAAGTCAGTAGCCTGACTGGTTTCATTGAATTAACAGCTGCTTCATGATTTGGTTATTCAGTGTTAATTTTGGCTGTGTAGACTAGAAAAGTGGCATGGCAACACTTACGCTACATGATTGTACTGTGTCATAGTGGAGCATAGGTGGTAGACCTAGGCAGTTTGTGATAGTTTTACTTTGGTACAAATAATTATATCTATATAAATATTATATAGATTTATGTCCACCAGTATAATTGCATTGCTGTGTTTGGCACATCATTGTACAGACTTTTGTAATAAAAGAACTTTAATGTTCTCAGTCATTGTAAATGTATGTTTGTTTTTCCAGTAAGTATTAAAGAAAAAAGTTGAGATCTCAGTCTTGCCTTCAAGATATTAGGCTTTTTTGAATTACTGAACTTTCTTTAGAAAAAAAAAAAGGTGATAGTAATTTAAAAATTCCTTATTTACTGGGCATGGTATGGTGAGCACTTCCATTCCCTACTACCTACTCCAGAGACAGAGACAGAAGGATTCCTTGAGCCCAGGAGTTCAAGGCCAGCCTGAGCAATATAGAGATGCCCTACATAAAAAATAATCATAAATTTAAAAAGTAATTCCTGTGTTTATGTTTTTAAAAACACATTGAGCATTAATATGTAAATTGAGTGCTATGGTCAAATGATGTTGCTTTGGCTTTTCTGGAGGGGCTTACATAACTTAGAAAAATAAGAAATGTTTCCCTCTACAATATCAGTCATACACAACTTTCTAACCAGAAGGCTCTTAAAGCACCCTCATTTATAATTTTCAGACATAACTTATGGTCTTAATATGCCATCCTCTTTTATTTTGGGAAATTTGAAATGTTCTAGTTTAGAAACTATACTGAATTTCAAGTTAGAAGATAATGGTGAAATTTCTATGCTCAGTGAGGGAGTGTTCTTATATACTTGACTTTATCTAGGGGTTTTGAATTTTGAAGAGTGGGAAAGATTATTTTATACTTTCATTATAACATTCTCCCAGAACCTTAAGGCTTTATGAATTTATCTTTGGCGAAAGGGAGTGAGAGAGGCATGATGTACTTGAAACTACCAACCGTTTTTACGTGCTGTCTATGAGAAAATTCTCTCTACCTCTTTATAAACTATTAGAGCTATGTCCCATGAACTATAAGCATTATTTTGTATTGTCCCTTCAGAGTCCCAGAATTTAATAATAAATCTCATAATAAAAATTATGTGTACCATTGTGTGTTTACCGGAAGCATGTTGTAAACATACAAGGTGTTTTGATCAGCTGCATCCTCTTACTATAATTAATAATAATTGGTTTAGTGCTTTTAAAATGTGTCTGGGCTAGGAATGTATGTAGCTCAGTGATATAGCACATGCCTAATATTTGCAGGGGCCTATGTTCCACCCGCCCCCCCAGCACAGTGAAGAAACAGTGGAATATTCCTGAGTCGGGGGGTATATTTAGGAAATAATTTACTACTTGAATGAGTTTTTGCTAGAAGCACTGTGTTCCTATCAGCCTCACCTCTGCTTTGTCTCAGTATCGTAGAGCTGAAAGTTTTCTCATCACTTGGTTTAGTTTTAAGCTGATGTAGTGTAATTCCTTCTCCAGCTCCACAGCATATAAAAAGAGCCTAGGAGATAGTTTAGAAGTTAGTGGAGATAAGTCACTAATATACTTCTGTCTAACAGTAGATTATTAGTGCCTGTTGTGATTTGCCTTGATGGAAGATGGTTTGGTAAGCTCTTAAAGTATGCCTCTTATGGCCATTTGTGGCTCTTAACATTTTAAAGGTATATGAAGAACAGTGTCTACTGTGCTTACCAAGGATAAATGGTGGTTTCTATTATTTAGGGATATAGAGATGAGAACATTTGGTCTCACTTTCTGAGTAAATGGAGTTATGTGCTTTAATTTTGAAACTGGGCAGAAAATGAAAATGGGCATACCAGCACAATAAGTTTCTGGTTCAGGAACAGTGTCCTGCATATCATGGTGTCCCATAGTACTCTGGTTATGTCAAGTGCTTACTCTCGAAATTCTTGTTGAGTGACAGGCTGGTAGTCATCTTCAGTTTCTGTAGAATAATACTTTTTCTCAAGCCTCTCTTTCCACTTTTTCATCTTCTCTGCCCTTTGGATCTCCTGTCAATTTAAAGGACATGAATAGACTGCAGTCTTTAGTAGTCTCCGGTGAGTCTTTGGTACACAAACATTACAGGGTTCAGATTCTGAGCCCCACTGGCTTTTCAACACAGCCCAGTGCTTGGGTGTCTATTCGCAAGGTCACTTGGGAGGACTTAGTGTAAGGGTTGTTTAGGGTAGTGGGTACATAGATGTTCATAATAGTTAAAATCCACTTTAGCCTTATATAGCACCCTTCATTATGATTTTTTGTTTGTTTGTTTGAGACAGGATCTCACTCACTCTGTAGCTCAGACTGGCCTGAAACTTGAGGCAGTCTTTCTGCCTCAGTCTCCCAAATGCTGAGATTTAGGCCTGTACCACTACACCTGGCTCCTTCATGTGATTTAAAGCTTTTTTGGTCTTTTTTTTTTTTTTTGAGACAGGGTCTCCCTGTAGTCCCAACTGGAACTCACTATGTAGACCAGGCTGGCCTTGAACTCACAGAGATCCACCTACCTCTGCCTCTCAAGTGCTGGGATTAAAGGCATGTACTGCCATGCCCAGCAAAGCTTTTTGTATAGTATTTTATTTTGACTTGAATTGTGTCCCTGATATCTTTAATATGCCAATTAAACAGTTGTTCATACTTTTCATTAACTTTTCTGATTTACTTTAACAGTATTTTAAGATATAGTGTAGAATTTGGATTTACTTTGTGATTCAGTCTGAAGATATTTTCAAACAAATTGAGCTATTTGTATGTTTTGATACATTTAGTGTATCTGTTCCAGTTACATCATATTGCTTTGTTATATTTTACCATGTTGTCTTGATACTTCAGCTCTTTAGGGAATGTATGTATTTTTGTTCTAGCAACTTGTCTTTTTTTTTCCCCCCACCCTTCCCCAGTGCTGGGATTTAAACCTAGAACCTTATATACACTAGGCAGTTGCTTTATAACTGAGCTTTGTCACCAGCCCAGTGTGACTTGTCTTTATTTAAGTATCTTTTTCTACACCCTTAAAATCCACCTTTCTTGATTTGGTTTTCTCTTGTGATGAACCAGAAAATTAGCTTATAATTTCTCTACCCTTTTCTTTCTCTCTTCTGATACCCAGTTGTATTTAAAATTAACATACTTCTTATTTTTTATATCCGAGAGATGGTGTTTATTTAGGGGGAAATGCTGTCAATTAAATTGTGATATACCATTAATTATAAGACACATTCTGATAGAGATGTTAAAATGTTGGGAAAGTATATTAAAAGCATTTTAATACTATCTTATTTATCATTGTACTCTTAAATAATGCTGATGTTCTTGGCTTATTCTAAATGATACTCTTTAAGTTATTATATACTAATCAGTCAGCCCTTTGTGTGTGGGCTTGTTTTGATGACATCTTCAGGCTGGCCTCCAACTCACTATATAACTGAAGCTAGCCTTGAACTCCTGATCTCTCTGCTTCTATCTCCCAGATGATAGGATTACAGGTGTGAGACACTGCACCTGGATTCTAGCCAGCCTTTTCTAACTTTCTAGCTTGCCCTTTTCCTCCTTTGTCTAATGTCTTTTGAGGCGGCTCACACTCATCCTCTAGCAGAATCCTCAGAAAGCTATCTCTTGACCTTTATATTTGAAGCACAGTTTTGTTGGTTATAAAAATTCTTGACTGACATTTTCTGTCTTTGACTATATTAGATATTACCATGTTGATTTATGGTATTGAACATTTTCATGCTAACTTGATTTTCTTTTTAAGTACATCCAAATTTTATTTGGAAAAGCCTCACATTGACAATGCCAGGTAAAATTTCCCATATAATACGCCTTTTAATTCATACCATCTTTTATTTCAGGAGTGATTGTTTTGAATTATACATTTAAAAAAAATTTTTTTTTTTTTTTTTTTTTTTTTTTTTTTTTTTAGGGAGCCCCAGCTGGCCTGGCACTTGCTATGTAGACCAGGCTGGTCTCAATCTCTCAGAGATCCACCTGCCTCCTCCTCCCAAGTGCTAGGATTAAATGTGTGCACCACCCAGCTGAATTTAAGATTTTTTCAAAGACTCTTGAATTGTGGAAAATGTTACAAGAACATTACAAATACTTTAAAAAAAAAAAAATTCCCGAAAGGACTTTTGCATTGTTTGCCTTTAAAATTTTTTGATTTATTTATTTTTATTTTATGTGTACGAGTGTTATGCTTGCATTTGTGTAAGTGCACCGTGTTGTGCAGTGCCCTTGGAGGACAGAAGAGGGCATCAGATCCCCTGGAACTGGAGTTACAGACCATTGTTAGCCACCATGTGGGTGCTGGGATTTGAACCTGGGTCTTCTGCAAGAACAGCTTAGTGCCCTTAACCACTGAACTATCTCTCCAGCTCTAAAATTTTTTTAAAGTTAATTTTTATGTGTATGAGTGTTGTGCCTACATATATGTAAGTGCACATGTACATGCAGTGCCTACAGAGACCAGAAGGTGTCAGATCCCCTGGAACTGGAGTTAGCTGCCATGTGGGTGCTGGGAACTAAACCTTGGTCCATCTTCTGCAAGAGGAACCAGTGCTTTTAACTGCTGAGCCATCTTTCCAGGCCCTCTTATTTTATCTTTTAGAGGCAGGGTCTCATGTAGCTCAGGCTGGCCTTGAATTCCTGATTCCTTTTTCTTCCAAGTACTGGGACTACAAGTGTGCCACCATGCCTGGTCCTTTGAAGCTGCTTTTTTTTTTTTTTTTTTGTCTTTTTGAGACAGGGTCTCCCTGTAGCCCCAGCTGTCCTGGAACTTTGAAACTTTTTAAAGTAAGTTGCCTGGTTACAGTATAGCCCATACTGGCCTTAAACTCGTGATCTTTCTATGCCACTACCCTTCAGGTGTTGGGATTACAGGTGTGTCCATCATGCCTAGCTCTGCTCTCAGTTGTATGCATTTCCTACATACAAGGACATTTTCATTTTCTTTTTATAATCACAACCAGAATAAAAGGGGGTGTGTTTGTGTGTGCTGGAGAAATGGCTCAGTGGTTAAGAACACTTGCTGAGGACCAGGTTTGGTTCCTGGCACCTACATGGTGACTCAAAACTGTCAGTAACTCCAGTTTCAGGGGATCCAGTGTCCTCTTCTGGCCTCTGCAGGCACCAGGCACACAGGTGGTACATATACATTATATGCAGGCAAACACTCATAAGTAAATCTTTTTAAAAATGTTGACACATTATTACTATCTAATCCTCAGTGTCCTTTTCAAGTTTACTAGTTGTCCAGCTGTTGTGCTCATAGATAATCCAGCCCAGGATTAATCCAGTGTAGGGACTGTGTTGTCATTTTAATCTCATCTACACTTGGATTGTTTTTTAATATTACCCTGACTTTCATGATTTTGGCAATTTGAAGAACTCTGACCAGTTATTTCATAAATGAGCCTTGATATACTTTTTAGGTTTTTTTCTCTTTGGCAGGGTCTTACTCTGTAGCCCAGGCTAGTCTCAAACCCAAGGCAGTCCTCCTGCTTCAGCAGCTCAAGTGCTAAGAGTCATAGACATGAGTCACCATTCCTGACTCTCAATCTAGTTTTGTGTGACATTTTATGATTAGATTCTGGTTATCTATGGTTAACAGGGATTTACATTAGAAGTGCTGATTTCATACCATTCTATCAGGTGGCTAATTTGTTCCAGTACTGTTGGTGGGTACTTTGATTAAGGTAGTTTTAGACAACTACTTTTCTTTTTGTAATTACTAAACATTTTGAAGTAAGGTCTGCAAATGTTTCATTCCTCATCAGACTTCTGTTCATTTGTATGCTTAGATCATTCATATGTTTAGATCCATATGAATTCATGAAATTCTGTTTATTCAATGGGTTATAAGTCAGCGTGCATTATATTGCTTAAATATCTTTAGGTTTGGGTTGAGGGGATGGCTCAGTCAGGAAAGTGCTTGCTTTGTACACATGAGGACCTGAGTTCAGTCCTCAGAAGCCATGGAAAAATGCTGGGGGTGTGGGAAGGGCTGGAGAGATAGCTCAGTGGTTAAGAGCACTTGCTACCCAATCATGTGGACTAGATTCCAACACAATGTAACAAGCTGGCATCCTCTGCATACCTCTAACCCTAGTTCCAACAGGAGTATAGACAGGAGGATTACTTGGGGTTTGCTGGCTATTAGCCTAGCTGAGAAAACATGAGCCCCAGATTCAGGAGAGACCCTCCCTCAAAAGGAACAGGTGGAGAGTGATAAGAGGACACCCAATAACCTCTTCCAGCCTCCAAGTGCATGCACAGACATGTGTACCAACATACGTACACATACGCACCTGTAAATCTGTAGAAATAATTTGGGTGTAGCAGTGCACACTTTTAATCACACTGCTAGGGAAACAGACACAGGAGGATCTCCTAGGGCTTACTGGCAAGCTAAGTCTAGCCTAATAAGTGAGCTTCAGGCCAATGAGGACCAAACTCAGGTCCTTTGCAAGAGCATGATGTGCTCTTAAGTGCTCCTAACCTCTTAACCATATCTCTGGCCTCAAGAGAGACCCTGTTTTATTATTTATTTATTGTTGTTCGTCTTTTTGAGAAAAGGTCTCCCTGTAGCCCCAGCTGGCCTGGAACTCACAGTGTAGACCAGGCTGGCCTCATACAGAAATCAGCCTGCCTCTGCCTCCTGAGTGCTGGGATTAAAAGTGTGTGCCAGCATGCCTGGCAATTTCCATTATTCTTTAAGCAGTTTTACTGTTTCCCTCAAGATATTCTAGTCTCATCTTGTATTTTCCAGGTCTATAGTTATCCGTATCTCCAAGAGCCTTGGTTATTTTTACATGAGAATAGTATTTGGAAACCAAGTATTAGTTGTGGGCATTTGTACTAAGTAGGCTATCTTTTTCTCTAGTGCTTTCAGCAGACAAAGCTAGAAAATGCTTGTTTATATATATATGAGTATACACATACAATTCTACTCCAACACTACAAAGTTCATTTTAATCTTTTTATTCTGTGGTGGTGTGTGTGGTGGAGTAACCACAAGCATAGCAAGTTCTGTTTTTCTTTTTGACTTGAGTAGCAGGGACATCTTTTCATTTGAGTCCATTTATATATTCCTTAAATTTTACATTTGTTGAGTATATTGTATCCCAGCTGGCTTTGAACTCATTTTATATCTGAGAATGACTTTGAACTGCCTCCACCTCCTGAGTGCTGGGGTCACAGGGATTACAGGGGTGCATCATTATATTATTATTATACCCTATTTATGGGGCTTCTGGAGGTTGAATCCAGGACTTTATGCATGTTGGAGAAGCACTATCAACTGAGCTACATCCCCAGCCCTAAATATAAACATTTTAATGTATAAATACTTTATACTTTAAAATAATAATTAAAATAATCATGCTCACAAATGTATGAGAAATGCGTGATCTCACTGGAGTGTATGTATTGTAAATACCCAGTATGGTGATCCCACAATGAGTGTGTTCCAAAGGATCGGTGATCTGGCTGCAGATACCAAAAGGAGAGGAGGAAGCACCTGGAACCCAGATGGCAGTGAAGGGGAGCGGGGGGCAGGGCTCACAGGAGGCAGAGGCAGGTGGATCTCACAACTTGGTCTACATGGCAAGTTCCAGCTTGGGCTACAGGGAGACTCTGTCTCAAAAACAAATTGTTTTGTTGGGCATGATGGCCCTCGCCTTTAATCCCAGCACTAGGGAGGCAGAGGCAGGCAGATCTCTGAGTTCAAGGCCAGCCTGGTCTATGTAGTGAGTTCCAGGACAGCTGGGGCTACAGGTAGACCCTGTCTCAAGACAAAAAAACAAAAAACCAACAAATCCAAATTGTTTCTATGAATCAGATCTTTTCTATAAGATTTCTAATTAAGCTGTCACATGTTTATGAAAAAATCGAAATCTTACATCTTCATCAAAGCTGCGTTTTCTGGCTTGTTCGGCTAGGTCTCCGGTAGTTTTGCTATGGGAAACATAAAATTAAAAACGTGATGGGGCTGGAGAGATGGCTTGGTGGTTAAGAACACTGGTGGTTCTTGCAGAAGATCTGGGTTTGAATCTCAGCACCCACACACATAGCAGCTAACAGCTGTCCATAACTCTGGTCCCAGGGGATCCGAAAGCTGCTTCTGACCTTTGAGGGCATTGCACATGGGTGCACTTACCTATATTGCAGGCAATACATGCATACACATAAAATAAAATTAATAAAATTTTTAAAAAGTAAAAGAAATACGATCATGTATGCAGTGAGAAGCCAAGTTCCATTTTTTTCTTACAACAAATGCTGGTTATTTAGAAATTGTGGTCATGAATGGGACTGTAGCGTAAAGAAATTTGCTTTTTGGACATTTATCATTAAATTTAAGTATTATTTCAAATACAAGTACTAATAAGTATTATTGTAAAATATTTTAATTTTGATAGCTAAATAAATTATGCACTTAATGTAGACTAAAGTTGCTTTCTACCTTTGTAAAGAGACTTGACTCACCCAGCTTTCTGTCTGAGCCTTGTGGGTGGCATGGCCTACATGATTTCTTTTAAGTGGTGCGGGGATTGAACCTAGAGCTTCACACATGCTTGGAATGCACTCTACCACTGAGATACATGCCAGTTCTAATATTAGTTTTAAGTTAGAATTTCATGGTATTCTCGGAAATTAAGAGGCATATTGGGTTGTTATAACAATGATGTATTTAGAATCACCACATTGGATGGTCAGAGTTTTATAATCAAAACCTTAACTCATTGTTGCCACTGTAATACAGATGGTCAACTTAACCATGGTTTAACTTATGATTTATGATTTCCTGACTTTATAATGATGCAAAAGTAGAAACTATACTTTAAGTTTTGAATTCTGATCTTTTCCCAGGGTCGCAGTTTGTGATGGGACTTTCAGAATGCTGAACAGAACAGCTGATATTCTGCAGATGGCTGTGTTGCTAGTGGTTTTTCGATACAGAAAGCTACTAAATGACATAATAATCAACACTTAACTATCAAATAGGATTTGTAGTAGACAATTTTGTCACACTGTAGGCTGTTAGTATTCTGAGTATATTTAAGGTATACCAACTAAGCTAGGACATTTAGGTTAGGTGTGTTAAATCCATTTTCAACTTTCCGTGGTGTTACAGGGATGCAACTCCACCCTAAATTGAGGAACATCTGTATAGAACTTAAAAACAAATTTAAAAATTTAAAGTCATCTTACATTTTGACTTCATCACTTTGAGCTTTCTTCAGTCTGAGTTTCTCGAGAACATTCTGGTAATTCTGGGTATAATTAAGAAATTTGAAAATTCATCAAAAGTTATTTCCTGTATTAATATTTCAAGGTGTATGACAAATGGAGTATTTGGCTCTAGGGACTGCAGCCTAAAGCAATGTCAGTAATAATGCCACAGTCATCCTTTCACTTTGCTGCCACCAACTCTTTGTGAAAGCAGAGGGGTTCTGTTGGGTGTGTCACACCGAATATGAGACAAAAGTCTAAAAGTAGTAATATGGACTGCATTAAGGATGTGTACAAGTCATACTCAAGATATAAAAGATGAAAAACACAGGGCTGGAGATAGCTCATTGGTTAAGAGCACTGACTGTTCTTGCAGAGGAGCTGGGTTCGATTTCCAGCACCCACATGGATCCAGTTCCAGGGGATCTGATGCCCTCTTTGGACCTCTGTGAGCACTGCATGACACAGGTGCACTTACATGCATGCAGGCAATATACTCATATATATAAAACAAAAGTAATTTTTTTTTTTTTTTTGTCTTTTTGAGATAGGGTCTCCCTGTAGCCCTAGCTGGCCTGGAACTCACAGAGATCTGTCTGCCTCTGCCTTCCGAGTGCTGGGATTAAAGGCATGTGCCAACACACCCCATTAAAGATAAGTTTTTTAAAAAAGTTGAAAAGCTCATTGTGGGGAGGTCATCTTAACAGTTTTCATTTACAGACAAGTTCTTGGACAAAACTCTTCAGCTGCACTAACACCATAGCTCCTGACAGCTCTGTGAAGTGCTCTAGGGTTTGTGGAAATGTGGAAGCTGGTGGGGAAGAGAGACTAGCTCACAACTCAGGTGAGCTAGATGTCAAGAGTGCAGGGCAGATCCCACTGCCAAGAGCAGAGAGTTATCAAGAGAGAGAGGAGCTTCCAGAATGTTTCAGGGGTAGGAAATGACATGAGCAGAGGACAGAGAGAACATATGGCATACAGCACAGCACTCAGATGAGCAGCACTTCTGCAGCGGTCAGAGGACTGCAGCTAATTCACAGCAGTCTGATCTATACAGCATGTTCCAGCCAAAGCTGCATAGTTAGATCATGTCTCAAAAACAAAACCCAATCAGATTAGCTGGGACATAATGGTACAATTAACAAAGGCAGGAAAAGGAGAAACTAGCTAAATGGTAGTTAAGAAAGGGGTTTAGACTATGCGATGTGAGGAGGGCTTGCAATAGTTTCAGGAAGAAATTGGGCTTAATTTGATAGACTTGGGATCTGCTAGAATCTTGCCTGGGAACAGGCAAGAACTTAGATGTTAACACATGGATAATGAAAGCTCTAATCCAGAAGTGCCAGTGAGAGTTCAAAGGGTTTTCGAGATTCCATAGGTGTGAGCAAGATCTGCATTTGCAGAAATATTAACCAGCCTTGACCACAGTCTGTCTGAGGGCCAAGGGGATAAAAATTCCAACCTTGAGTCATGAGTGACTAAGACTAAGACAGCCGTGAATATGTGAGGAAGACGAGGCAGATCAATACGGGTTTAGACTGCGGAAATTTACCAGTGTTTACATTGATAAATTTTGGGAGCAAAGTTTTGTTACAGCACCCAATAATGCTTTGCACCTAGTAGTTGATGAATGGAATTCTGAAATAATTTGGGCTACCTTGTTAAAGCCTGAGGGGCTGGGGTGTAGCTCAGTTGATAGTGCACTCACCCAGCATACATGAAACCCATTCCATCCCCAACAGCCCATAAACGGGGCATAGTGATGCATCTCTGTAGTCCTAGAACTCAGGAGGTAGAGGCAGGAGAATCTTAAATTCAAGATCATCTTCAGCTATAGAATGAGTTCAAGGCCAGCCTGGGACACATGAAACCTATCTCAATAAGAAAACCTGGGGAGGAGAGTGTCTCAAGGGTTTAAGTGATGTTTATCTACAAGATTATAATCTGAATAAAGTTTGCCTAAGAATTATAGTTAGGAAAATAATTTGACTTACCTTTTTAATTATTTTACCAAGTTCAAAATCTGGTTTTCTGCCTATGGAATAATCAGCTTTCACTTCAGAATAGGTATCATTAATTATTGCCAAGAACATGTTCTAGGAAGAAACATTAAAACAATTCTTTCAGTAAGAAATTTACTTAGGAGTGGGTATGTAGCTCATTGGTGAAGTGTTTGCTTAGAATTCTCAGGGCCCTGGGTTTGACCCCCTACAGCCTGACATACACAAAGTGGCTTTAAAGCTGGGCACTGTAGCAAATGCCTATAGTCCCAGCTATTCAGGAGACTGAAGCAGAGGGTTACTTGAGCCCACAAGTTTGTAACCAGCATGACTATAACATAGCAAGACCTTGTCTCAAAACAAGATGAAAAAGTTAATGACTTAAAAGTGCTAGAATTTAGTATTTTTTGTTTGTTTTTGATCTTTTTGAGACAGGGTCTCCCTATAGCACCAGCTAGCCTGGAACTCGATATATAGACCAGGTTGGCCTTGAACTCATAGAGATCTGCCTGCCTCTGCCTCCTGAGTGCTGGAACTAAAGGTGTGCGCCACCATGCCTGGCCAAAAGTGCTGGGATTTGTAAAACTAGACTTAAGAAATTAAAAGTTAATAAATAGCTAAGTAGCTGTGGAGACAATGGCAGGGTAGAACGGGAAGTGTATGGGATGTGGATGTGAACAGATGCTTATGGAAACGACACAAAATGTGAAATATTGCACATGAATTGGCTATACACACGCACACACACACATTGATTTATCAGCATTACATATCAGAAGGAAACAGATTATAGGTTCTTTAGAGTGGTTTTAGTGTTTTAGTTTTATGAAGTTGGTTAAATTTGTCATCTTATCAAGATCCCTGCAGCTACATACTTGTCTAGATAGCACATTTGTTGAGACTTCTTAAGCCCAGCATCTCTCCACTTTCACTGTGGTACAGTTCTGTCACTCTGAGGACTCCTGACCACATCCAGGGCATAGCTTCTGTGCATGAGAAAAAACGTTTGCATGGAGGACAGTAGCAATCCATCACTGGAAGGCAGAGTTCCTTGACTAAGAAACCCACAGAGACATTCAGAGCTCAACTGAGAGACTCATTAGAATGACTTCTAGAAATCACAACGGGGAGAGTTTTCAGTCAGAAGGGCTAGAAGCCATTACAATGTGGGCAAGAGCATTAATGGCTGATCTCCTGTCTCCTGTTACGGATTGTCCCAGCCTGGAAAGGCTTGGGAGTTACTTGTTTGAAGGATTTAGCACATTCTTAGAACAAACATGCTCACTACTGAGAGCACATTCCACAGACAACCTGCAAACAGTGGTAACTGGATTAGAACCTGGGCACTAAGGGATCCAGATTATTCTTTTTTTTTGAGGAGGGGGATGGTTTGAGGCAGAGTCTCCCTGTAGCCCCAGCTGGCTTGGAACTCTGTTTAGACCAGGCTGGCCTCCATCTCAGAGATCCAACTGCCTCTACCTCCCCAGTGCTGGGACTAAAGGCATGCACCACACCAGGCTAATCCAGACCATCCTTTATGAATGTCAAGTGCTCTGATAGTTAAGCAATAATACCACAATTTCTTCTAAATAAATGATTTCATTGTTCTGAAAAAATGCAAGCAAAAAGAAAAAAGGGTGAGAGTCATTCTTACCAGCAGGACAAAGAGCACAAAAAAGATGAAAGTGATGAAGTAAATGGGTCCCAAGATCCAATTGGCTTGCTGGATGCCAGCAAAATTAAAATCTCCAAGAACGATTCGAAATTGTGCAAATCTTTGGTGAGATGGAAAAAAAAATGTCACATGCCTTCATTTATACGCAGTGGCAACTGTTGGGATTATCAGTATTTCTGGTTGCATATGGCATATATGCTGGCTTTTTCTTCCCAATGCTGGAATCAAATCCAGGACCTCATGCATGCTAGGCAAGTGTTCTATCACTGAGCCACAACCCAGCTCCTCCTGTCTGACTTTAATTATGTTACTATAGAGTTGTGAAAAACTGAGCAGGATATGGCAGAACACATCTGGAATCCCAGCACTCGGGAAGTGGAGACGGGCAGGAGGGTTATTAGTTCATTGCCAGCGTTGGCTGCATAGCAAGTTTGAAGTCAGCCTGGCTTACATGACACCCTTTCTCAACAACAACAACAACAACAACAACAAAAACAAGAGTTCAATAAACTGGATATAGAAAATTCTGCTAAAGGTTGGGCTGGAGAGATGGTTTGGTTGGTAAAGTGCCTGAAGTGTAAGCATGAGGACCTGAATTTGGATCCCCAGCACACACATAAAAGCCAAGCACAGAGGCACACATCTTTGATCCCAGCACTGGATGGGGGGTGGAGACAGGTGGATCCAGCCTATCCAATAAGAGAGCCCCCAGGTTCAGTGAGAGATCCTGTCTGAAAAAGCGGAAAGCCGAGCATGTGGAGCATGCCTTCAGTCCCAGCACTCGGGAGGCAGAGGCAGGAGGATCTCTGTGAGTTCAAGGCCAGCTGGCACTACAGGGAGACCCAGTCTCAAAAAGACCAAAAAAAAAAGTGGAGCGCAATTGAGGAAGACACTCGTCAACCTCTGGCCTGGCCTACACACTCATATATGTACACACACAAATATATACATATAACATGCATATATATACACACACAAAAAAAAAACTACCCTAAAGGCAAGATCAAAGGTACCTCAGCTGAACAGATAGTTTAGGAAGTGATAAGAATCCTAGTTTTGTTTCCTGTTGCTGTGATAAAATACCTTGACAAAAACAACCTAAGAGAGACCCTGTCTGTGTGAAAAAGTGGGGAGTGATTGGGTTTATTTGGCTCACATTCCAGATTACAGCCCATCATTGCAGGGAGGGCAAGGCAGCAGAAACTTGAAGGACCTAGTCACATTACATCCATAGTCAGGAGCAGAGAGCAGTGAATTAACACATGCATGCTAGTGCACAGCTCCCTCTCTCCATCCTTATACAGTCCAGGATCCTCTGCCTAGGGAATGGTGCCACCTATGGTGGGTGGGTCTTCTACCTCAATGAACATAATCATGACAATCCCTCAGAAGCATGTCTAAACCTTTATTCCAGGTAATTTTCTATTTTGTCAAGTTGATGGTTAACTATCATAATATGTTTGAATTTATTTGAACAATATGAGTTCAATGCTTATCTATAAGATTTGAACCTTAAAATATAGTTAAAAACTGGTTTTGTCAGTGGTTTCCTTGTCCATTCCTGTGCCTTTCTAAAACTTAGAAAAATTTTGGCTTTGCCCAACAAATGATTTTTCAACTTACCTAGACCCAAGAGCCCTAATCTTTCTGCTGTCAATGCTACATTTAATTTTTCTCTAAATCACTTCAAGTTTGGATAAAATAAAGGTTCTATCAGTTCATCACTTGCTTGTCCGAAGTGCTAGTAACTGTTCCCCACTGGATACCTGGTAAACAGTGGCTACTGGACTAGAGATCTTAAATTACCAAGAATTCACACCATTCTTAATGTCAAGTGCTCTGACAGGTAAGCAGTAATACCATGATTTCTTCTAAATGAATAATTTAGGAAGATCATTTTATTCCAAGGTTTGTTTTATTCTCTTTATAACTATGAAGTCTTGGTTTTGATATGAAATACTATTTACAATATTACAAATCTTCATTTTTCTGACCTTAAAATTGACATGGAGATATAAAGTTAAGGCCCTCAATAATAATGGTAGAAGTATAATTAGTATTTTAAAAAATTATTTTTATGTGTATGAGTGTTTTGCCTCCATGTGTGTAAGTGCACCCCATGCATGCAATGCCCATGGAGGCCAGGAGGGGGCGTTGGATCCCCTGGAACTGAAGATACAGCTGGTTGTTAGCCACTGTGTGGGTGCTGGGAAGTGAACCTGGGTTCTCTGCAAGAATAGCCAGTGCTCTTAACCACTGAGCCTTCTCTCCAGCTCCAGAATTAGGATTTTAAACATGTTTTATAAACGTAAGTTAGCATATGTATTTCATGATGACATGTTCATACATGTACACCCTTGTACTTTGCTCATAGTCACCCTCTATTATTACTATCTCTTATTCATTTTCTCCCTTAACCTGAAATTGTGTTTACATAGCACCACGAATATCTGTTATAAATTATGTGTGCTATTTAAGAGGAAACCTGGGAAGAATTTTGTTTTGTTTTTGTCTTTGAGACAAAGTCTCATGTGTCCAGACTGCTCTCAAACTTGGTATGTAGCTAAGGATGACCTTGTACTCCTGATCCTCCTCTCTCACTTCCTGGTGTTGGGATCACAGTGTACCACATCATTTTATGTGGTGCTGGGGTTCCAACCCAGAGCATCATGCATACTAGGTAAGCACTCTACTAACTAGGCTGTATCTCCAGTCCCCTTGGGAAAAATTTTTTAATGGTATCTTGATACACTCTGCATGATAGTTCACTCAGTCAGAAGGAAGAAAGCTGCTTGTACCTTGTTGATTTGGTCAGTCACAGGCTGGAGAGATGGCTCAGTGGCTAAGAGCACTGACTGCTCTTGCAGAGGACCTGGGTTCGATTCCCAGCACCTACATGGCGGCTACAAACCGTCCTTAACTCCAGTTCTAGGGAAATCCGAAGCCCTCTTCTGACCTCCGCAGCATTCCACAACATGGGTACACTCACATACATGCAGGCAATACACTCATACATATAAAAAAAAATTTAAAAAGTAGAGGGCTATTGGAGAAAGCTTTTTTTCTGGAGAAAGTTACCATGTTCCTAGGCCTTCAAGTACTGACTAAGCCATCTATCTCCCCAGCACCTTAGGTCACTTATTGTTAGACATTTGGTTACAACAGTGAGAAAAACTGACAGTACTAATGAAGCCAGAAGATGGATGAAACCAGAGATCATCATATTACGCAAAGTAAGCTAGTCCCAGAAAGACAAACATCATGTTTTCTCTCACATGTGGAATCTAGATCTAAAAAAACAGCATATAGAAAGGGGCTTGAGAAAAGGAAGGTGCTAGCAGGGAAAGAAAGGATAAGGGGAGACTATGAGCAAAGCACATGGCATACACATAGACAAATGTGGGGGCAAACCCCATAACTTTGTACAATGAACCTAGGCTAAGAACATCACACACATGCACATGCACACATGCACATGCATGCAATGGAGTACGATTAAGCCGTAACATAAAGTAGGTTGTAATTGTGTCTTATAGGAAAATGGATGGAAACGGAGGACGTATTAAAATACAGAAACAGAAAAATAGCATATGTTTATCTCCCGTGGAAACGAATAAAAATGAAGACTTTAAAGTGGCAGAGGTATTGTCAGAGACTGAAAGAGGCAGAGGAGTAGAAACTGAGGGAAAGAACCTAAAGGGCACAATGAATGCTTTTCCAGAAGTGCCACAGTGAACGTCGTCAGTTTGTACAGTTGGCATGTGTTAATTATAACGAAGTGGCAGGAGATGGGATCCCTTCCAGACAAGTGCCTGAGATGGGGCTGACTTGAATAACCCAAGCATATCATCAAAAGCAAAAGCCCCTTCAGAAACCAACTCGCAAGTTCTATCCATTTCTTTTTGTGTCTTACACCTTTCTGTCCTTCCTACAAGTAAGACTGTGAATTATGGTGGTTGTCGGTCTTTGTATTACCAAGTTTTATTATTATGTAACATTTAGAATAGCTAAGATCCTAGGGAAGGATCAAGAAGTTGCTGGGAATATAAGCATAATTCACCCACAGTAAGCTACAGGACACCTCAGTTTCATCACTTGAAGTTCAAAGGGCTTTGGGGAGCGCACTAGTCCCCTTCATCTTACAGAGGAGAAAATTAAGGTCCAGAAAATCGAGTAACAAGTGGCAGAACTTGAAATTAGACTTCTGGAAATTAGACTTCTGTCCTGTACTTACCTCCCTATTCTTCCCAATACTGATTTAGTAAAGGATGGTTTCAGGAAAAAGTTATAAAACATACATTTTAAGGATGGGTGTGGTGGTACACACCTTTGATCCCAGCACTCCGGAGGCAGTGGCTGGTGGATCTCTGTGAGTTAAAGGCCAGCCTGGTCTATGTAGCAAGTTCTAGGTGAACCAGGGTTAAATAGTGAGAACCTTTCTGAAAAAATAATTTATACGTTTTATTTTTTGGTTATTTGCATATGGGTGGAAAAAGATGGCAATTTCAGACTCCTTTTTTTTTTTTTTTTTTTTAGATAGTTTCTGAAAAATCTAGTAAAGGACACAGACAAGAAACTTTACAGAATTCTTAGAACTAAAATCTTTTTCATGTTCACTACAAATTTCCAACTTGCTATGCAACTAACTAATCTCAACCTTGACTTTCTGATTCTCCTGTCTCCACTTCCCCAGTGCTGGATTACAGGTGTGTGCTACTATGCCTGGTATATATGGTGCTGGAATTGAACCTAGGACTCTGTGCATGTTAGGCAAGCACTCTCTCAACTGGGCTACATCCCCAGCCCTCAAATGAGTAACCTATGAATGTATTTCACTTGTAAAGAAAAGTGTAAATACTTTTGTAAGACTTCTATTGACTCACTTCTCACTTCTGGAGTTTTGTTGTCTGTTAACTGAGTGCTTTATAATAAAGCACCTTTTTTTTTTTGAGACGGGTCATCTAGCCAGGCTCACCTTGAAGTTTTGATCCTCCTGCCTTAGCCTTTTGAGTCCTGGGAATATTTGCATGTGCCCCAACATTATCCTTTTATAAAATTAATTTAAATTTTCATTTATTTATGTTTTTTAAAATATTTATTATTATTTTTATGTGTATGTGTGTATTGCCTGCATGTAGGTAAGTGCACCCCTGTCATGCAATGCCTGTGGAAGGAAGAAGAGGCTGTTGAATCCCCTGGAACTGGAGTTATGGACAGTTGTTAGCTGCCATGTGGGTGCTGGGATTCGAACACGGGTCTTCTGCAAGAACAGCCAGTGTTCTTAACCACTGAACTATCTCTCCTGCCCCGTGTTTTTTGAGACAGGATCTCCCTGTAGCTCCAGCCGGACTGGGACTCACTATGTAGCCTAGGCTGGACTCCAACTCACTGCCTCTGCCACCCAAGTGCTGGGATTAAAGGCATGTGCCACTATACCCAGCCTGTTTATGGACTTTTGAGATAGGATCTTGTTGTGTAGTCCAAGTTGGCCTCAAACTCAATTCTCCTGCCTCAGCCTCCTGAGTGCTGGGATTATAGGCACACACCACCACACATGGCTTTATAAAACTATAAAACTACTTTTCTTTCTTTTTGATTTTTTTTAATTTTTATAAAAATTTTATGTGTTTTGCCTGTATGTATGTAGGTGCACCCCATGCATGCAATGCCCATGGAGGCCAGAAGAGGGCATCGGATGCCCTGGCACTGGAGTTCTGGACAGTTGTTAGTCATCATTTAGGTGCTGGGAACAGAACTCAGGTCCTCTGCAAGAGAAGTCAGTGCTTTTAACTGCTGAACCATCTCTACAGCCCCTATAAAGCTATTTTAAAAATACACCTTGTTAGATAAGCAAGGACCATCAATTTAAGATTTGTTATGCAGAAAGAAAAAAAAAGGGGGGGTGGTTCTTAAGAAGGAAGTCCCTGTGGAAGAAAACAATACAAATTTCATATGCTCAAGAAATAAACACAGAAGCATGGGGTCAAGTTATGTTATCTTAAGCAATATAACCATCTCCAAGGAAAGCTATTTTTCTAACTTGACCTGATAGCAAATAAAAAATGGATATCACCAGCTATTTGGATTCTCCAGTGACAAATCTTACTTTGAGTGACTATTTTTTTTATCTTAAATAAAAATATAAATCCAAGTTTAAATTAACCAAGACTCATAAACTACTGTTTAGCATGGAACTTTCTGTGATTTTGCAGTTAGAAAATATAGAGAATACAGTTACATATGTATAAGCACTTACATGGAATTTTGAAAAGTGGAAAAGTCATCAACCTGTGATCCAAAAACAAGAAACCCTAACTGGGCATAAGCGAAGAATATTATGAAAAACATGATGGCAAATCCAACTATGTCTTTCATACAGCGGGATAAGGTTGATGACAGCTGAGACATTGTCTTATTGAAGCTTATAAATTTGAATATCTGAAAAAAAAACAAATGTGATTGACACAGAATCAGGCAAATTAATTTCAGAAGAATTCTTCAAATTAAAGGAGATACTTAATGATAATCTAGGTTGTTTGAGGATTTGCCAGCAATCATTCAATGCCCAGATTAGTTTGGTGTGTGTGTGTGTGTGTGTGTGTGTGTGTGTGTGTGTGTGTTTGGGTACATGCACATGAGTTCAAGTGCCCTGAACTCACTATGTAGACCAGGCTGGCCTTGAACTCACAGAGATCCGTCTGCCTCTGTCTCCCAAGTTGCTGGGATTAAAGGTGTGTGCCACCATGCCCGGCAGATATATATTTTTATGTGTATAAATGTATTGCCTGAATGTAGGTAGGTGCACCTGTGTTGTGCAGTGACTCAGAGGTCAGAAGAGGGCATTGGATCCCCTGGAACTGAAGTTATGGATGGTTGTTAGTCATCATGTGATGCTGGAAATTGAACCCAGGACTTCTGTAAGAGCAGCCAGTACTCCTAACTGCTGAGCCAACTCTCCAACTCTATTGGGTTTTTGTTGCTTTTTTTTTGGTCTTTTTGAGGACAGGGTCTCCCTGTAGCACCAGCTGGCCTGGAACTCACTTTGTAGACCAGGCTGGCCTTGAACTCACAAAGATCTGTCTGCCTCTGCCTCCCAAGTACTAGGACTAAAGGTATGTGCCACCACACTGGCTTTTGTTGTTGTTGTTATTGTTTTTTTAAAAACAGGGTCTCCCTGTAGTCACAGCTGGCCTGAACTCACTAGGTAGACCAGGCTGACTTTGATCTCATAGAGGTCCACTTGCCTCTGCCTCCTGAGTGCTGGGATTAAAGGTGTGTGCTACCATGCCTGGCTGCCAAATTACTTCTTAAAAAATTATTTATTCTGTATAAGTGCGTGTGGGTGGGAGGCAGGACAAGCATGCTACTGAGCATATGTGGAGGTCAGAGGACAACTTGTGGTCGTTAGTTCTCTCCTTCCACTATGTGTGTCCCAGGGATCCAACTTAGGTGGACAGGCTGGTGGCAAGGGCCTTTACCTGCTGTGCCACCTTACCAGCTCTGCCAAATTACTTTCAAAATCACTTAATAGTTGAGAAAATGTTTTTCCTTCCTACAAGATAATAGTTTTACTAATACGTTATGACACTACTGTATTATGTAATATAATGAAATATAAATACCTTTATCCATGCAAAAAAGGTAGTAATAGCAATTATATTATTATAGTAAACGTGCCAGTGTGCTAGAAAATAGAAATCTGCATACTTTTCTGTACTTTTCAACAGCCGTCCAAGGAAGAGAAAAGTCTGCATATTACAGTGTGCGTAGAAGGAGACAGTCAGAAAACACAACTGAAGGGGAAAATAACAAGAGTTAAGTTGGAGACTATTCCAGCTCTACATGTCTTACAGTCTTTGAAGAAACACATGAAAACTTTCATCAAAAGTTTAATGGACAGGGTGGGATGTGGTGCTGTATGCCTTTAAGCCCAGCACTCAGGAGGCAGAGGCAGAGGCAGGTGGAGCTCTGTGAGTTCAGGGCCAGCCTGGTCTACATAGTGAGTTCCAGGCTAGCTGTGGGTACAGGGAGACCCTGTCTCAAAAAAAAAAACAGAATCTTAATAAAAGGGATGGAAAGATAGAACACAGGCTTTAAAAAAATGATCAAAAGTGGTTTATCAACTCTATTTTTGTATTAAACACAAGGGAGAAGCCTGGGCAATCTATATACAGCTGTGACACATGGAAAGGGACTTGATCAAACTGAGTCTTAGACCATATAAATGTCTCTTTGATTACATCGACAGTAATTGTCTATGCTTTTTCATTTATCTTTTTAAAAATGCCACACATTCCCTATGTTATCTTCTGTTCCAGTTACAGCACAATGCCTGGGAGGAAGTGTGATGGTAAAACACCCTCATAAGCAGTTTTCTGCTGTTCATTCTTTCCAGTCTGAGATCTGTGGATATGAGGGGGGTCATGCCTCCTCCAGCTATGGAAGCCTTGGTAAATGACTCCCTTCTTCACCCCCATGGTTTGCAAGCTGCTAGGGACGTGGAGTGCAGGCTGTACCACAAGAAGCTCAGAAGCATTATGGGCCAAGTCCAGCACCTCAGCAGGAGGTACTGCACAGTCAGCAGCCATGGCCCCAGTCTGCCCATGGCTCCTGGTGTGAGTCTGTGTCTGTGGATGCAGCCCACAGGAAACTGTAGCCCAGCTTTCTGAAGAAGACACTGCCTTAGCCTCGGTTTCCCTACTAGCCTTTCCAGCTTTGCCTCTAGCCACAGTCTCTGCTGACTTTCCCTCTGCTTGGTGAAGCAACCACCAAGGACATGGGCTTTTGTAGAAGTGTAAGTAATTCTCAACAGAACTTAAAATAGCAAGATGCTCATAGGAGACACTAATTTCCTGGCCATCCTAATCTATCTGCCTGCTTCTTTGAATTACAAAGCACAAGTGTGTAAATGATTATGTCACTGTGGTGTGAGGCTTTCTGTGTCATGATACCTAAAACTTAATATTTTCTACCATGTAATAATACAAGAAAGAAATTGCAATTACACTAAATAAACCTTTTTAGAATGCCTCAACAACCGCTTTAAGAGAGTTTCAGATCCAGGTTGTCTTAGCTACCAGAGCTTCATGACTGATGACAATTTTCCTTTGACTTTCCTTGCCAGAAATATTCAACATAGTTAAACATTTAATGCTCTGCCCTTTGCTAGTCATTGGGGATACTAGAGAGGCAGGTGGGGCACTTTCTTGTGTCCTGCTCTATCACTCTCTACTTTATTCCTTTCAGACAGGGTCTTCTCACTGAACCTGGAGGTAGGCTGCCAGCCAGCAGTCCTCCTGTCCCAGCCCCACACAGTGCTGGAGTCACAGGTGTGTATGACCATTTCCAGCTTCTTTACATGAGTGCTAGGGATTGGGACTCAGGTTCTCACATTTGAAGAGCAAGCACTGTCATCCACGGTGCCAACTTCCCAGACTTTTTTTTTTTTTTTAGATCATGTATCACTATATTGCCCAAGCTGGCCTTGAATTTATAGAGTCTACTACCTCAGGAGCCCAAGCAGTTGGGCCTCAGAGCTAAGCACTCAGAGCTAAGTTCCATAGGAATACACTTTTTGAGCATGGCTAGTAAGACCTGTGTGCATTAACTCATACTATGTATGGAGACCTCTAGGTTTTGCCAGCCCTCCCAAGGATCAAATCAGAGAAAACAGAGTTCTCTCTTTTAAGGGCACAGTAGCAAAATGCACTATGACATCTCATTTTTATGTTTGATGTATATAGCTTTCAAAATAAGTCTTGGGTGAATAGAAAAGCCCATTTTGGTACATCCCTCACTGGTGGTTTCAGATGTGACCTTAAATCATGTATGTGATTACATACTCACCAGCAAAAGCAGCAGTTCTAGCCAGTTCCAAATACTTTTGAAGTAGTCAGCCTTAAATTCATTAATTCTTTTGATTTCTTGTGTAGTGAAGACAAAAAGGAAAATACAAAATATGATTTCACAGGAAGCAATGAAATAATCATAGTAGCTAATGTATCTGAGGAGCTTCACCGAGTAAAACTGCCACGAAGTAAGTATTCCTCCAGTTGCAGGGAATTCTGCCACCAACCTATATAAAATTGTTTAAGTAGTTAGGCATTTGAAGTGTGTTTTAGTACTTAAGTTGCTGTAAAATTTCTAATCAAACAATACATACTTTAATAATTGTTTATTTTATGCAAAATGTGTTTCCTTGGGCTTGCCAAGTTCAATTTAAAAGTTTTCATTTGGGATGGCTCCCAAGTTAACTAAAGATGGCAGCTGCAGTGGGAGGACTGCCCTTGTCCTCGGCTCCTGGTGCGTGAGCACCATTTCCCCAGGCATTGTGGCCTCTGCAGCCCTTAGGCCTGGTGCTTCTAGAACAAGCTTGTCAAATGTACTGTGATCTGGTTCCACTCAAGCAAAACTTGCCTTTGGCACTAGTTCCTCACCCCACCTCCTGCTGTCACCCAGCATGCACCCTGTTGAGGGCCCAGTACTATCAATGGACAGTTCAAGGGCTGAGCCTCGCTGACTTTAAGGGGAAACACTTGGTGCTTCCTTCTATGCTTTGGATTTTGCCTTTGTGGGTCCTATGGAAATCTCTGTTCTTAGTGACAAAGCCAATGGAATTTCGTGTACTGTGAAGTGGATTTCCATTTTACCTATCTTGCCTGAATCAATATACCAAGGAGGAATGGCCACTGAGGCCCCATGAACATTGATTACATGCTTGTCAGATTTAATGAGACAAATAACTTGGGACTACTGTGTGCTGTTGCAAGGTCCTGGGGTTGCACTCAGAGGCCTCTTAATAACTGACCCCAATGGTGTCATCATGCATGTTGAATGCCAACCACCTCCCAGTGGGCCAGTCTGTGTAAGAAACCTTCTGCTGGTGAAGGTGATCCAGTTTGGAGACGTCTGCCCGGCAAACTGGATACCAGTCTCTTGATTGCAAGCCAAGTCCAAAGGCTTCTAAAGAATATTTCAGGACCGTCCATCAGCAGATCACCCTGCAACCTGGGTGCACTTGAAAAGCCACAGCTGGAACCCTTTTAGCATTTCAAAGACCATTCATAGAAGGCAAAACTCAATCCTGCTTGTATTTATAAATACAAGCTGCTCTATATGGTTTGTTTTTTCATTCATTTATTTAGTATGTGTACGCATGTGTGCACATGTACTATGATGTGTGTGGAGGTCAGAAGACAACTTGCTAGAGTCTCTTCTCTCCTTCCACATGTCTCCTTCCACCATGTGGATCTCAGCAATGGAACTCAGGTTGCCGGGCTTGATGGCAAGCTCCTTTAACCACAAGCCACCTTGCAGGCCCCACATGCTTTGCTTTTGTAATATCTGCAGAGGCTTGTTCAGGGTGGCTAGTGCTAACATCGGTGTCCTTTCTGGGGACATCTTGAAGGCTAGTGACTTCCTACAGAATGCTTACCGCTCCCACTTCTCAGATCATGTCTTCAGAGGGTAAAGGAAACACTCTCCCCCCTTAGCCTTACTTGAACCTTTGTCTACACCATAGTAGCACAAGCACTCAGTGCTTCTCATCTGAGTTCTGAAATTTCCTCTTTAATTTCTCTGTATTAAATTAGCAGAGGTCATAGTTTTATGTCACTAGCATCAGCAGTCTGAGTTAACTTTGAATGTATATGTGACAGAAACACATGCAATTCATGCTATTAAAACCATGGTGGTGATGGGCCAGCAAGATGGCTCAGAAGGTAAGGGTACTTGCTGCCATGCCTGACAACCTGTGTTCAATCCCTGGGCACACATAGTGGGAAGAGAGGCTTGACTTCACCAAGTTGTCCTCTGACCTCAGCAAACATGCCGTGGCATGTGACCCCTCCCATAATAAATGCATATAATAAAAAATAAAAACATTGTGGCAAAGTAATTTAATGATCATACATAATCCTCTTCCCTGATGCTTATGAGTTTACAAGTTATTTTACTTATTTTATTCATTAACTGACTTAGGTTCTGTGTATATTCCTAGACACAGGTTTAATTATGAAGGAGGTATGTTTAATCCAAGGATTTCTTTTTCATTTGTTTTTGAGAAAGGGTCTGGCCTGGAACTCTCTATGTAGACCAGGCTAGCCTTAATCTCACAGCAATCCACTTGTCTCTGCCTCCCTAATGCCAGAATTAAAAGCACATGCCACCACTCTCTGCTAAGGATTACATCTTTTAATCATTGTAATAATTTTTTTCTTCAAGTTTTTGGTAGAAAATATATCTAAAACATATTTTAAAATCAAAGAATTTAAGGGCTGGAGAGATAGCTCAGTGGTTAAGAACACTGGTTGCTCTTGCAGAACACCCAGGTTCGAATCCCAGCACCCACATGGCAGCTAACAACTGTCCGTAACTCCAGTCCTAGGGGATCTGATGGCCTCTTCTATCTTCCTTGGGCATTGCATGACACAGGTGCACTTACCTACATGCAGGCAATACACTCATACACATAAAATAAAAATATGAAATAAAATATTTTTTAAAAAACAAAGAATTTAGATTTACTTAATTTATCTGTGCCACCTTTTCTATACTGAAGATTCACAAATATCAAAGAGCAATGTAAATAACAAAGATGTGACACTGGGAATAGCAGCTTATGTCCTAGGAGGATGAGGTATTGTTCAAGAAAATCCTGGACTACATTATTGTGACTAGTTCGGGCTTTTCTCAGAACACAGAATTCTTAAGTATTCCAAAGAAGAGAACTATGTTCTCCTAGTTTAGCTCATCAGGGATATCACTGTCTTTTAAAAGCTAAGACTTCAAGAAATATATGTCTAGGTTAGGTTTATCTGAGAACAACTGGTCTTTGCCCCAGATTTATCTACATGACGCACAATAATTAAAAATATCAGACTGGTAGAACTAACCTTCTTGGGTGTTTAACAGACACACTTTGAGGCCTATAATAATTTGGTCAGAGGGACATAAAGGACACTTTTTGCTCCTTGCCCTCCTAGGTCGACTAGTTCCAGGGGACTACAAGCATCTCTCAAAATGTCCTATAATGGAGGTGTGTTACCTGTCCTCTTGATCAAGGAAGCTGAGGAGACCCCACCAGATGGACTTGAACCAGTGTCCAGTCTATAAAGAGTAAAGAGGACACAGAGGAATCATTTCATTTCCTCCATGCTTCCAAGCGAAGCCAACCATGGTCGAGCAGAACCTTTGACTTATCTTCACATAGATGGAACTGGTAAA